CCCTCAATCCCATCCTTGCCAGGGGGCCCGGCTGGGCCAGGGGGCCCTGGGAAGCCTGGGGGGCCTTCAGGGCCTGGGGGCCCTAAAAGAGCAGCAGAGCCCAGGGTCACAGTGGTCAAGCCGTGCCCACCCCCTGCCTCCACGAGCCCCCTCCCAGGTCCCCCCCGTACCGGTGCGGTCCTGCAGCGCGAGGTCCTGCACCTGGGTGAGCAGGTGCTGCAGGGAGGCGTTGAGCGCACTGAGGCGGCGGGCCAGGGGCACGAGCTGGGCGCCGGCATGCAGCTTGTCCAGTAGCGCGCCGTGGGTGCGCAGCGTGGCATTGAGCTCGCTCAGGCCCCCCCACAGCCCGGCCACGTGCCGGCCCAGCCCCTCCTTGACCTTGCGCAGGCTGCCGCCCACCGTGTCCAGCTGCTCGCACACGCTCTCCAGCTTGGCCACTCTCCTCCCGGCCGCCCGTCCAGGCCGGGTTGGCAGGTGGGCGCCGGCAGGCGCGCCAAGGTCTCGAAGCGCGTGTCACTGTCGGCCACGTGCTCCGTCAGCTCAGCCTGCACCTTGTTGATCTCGGCAATGATGTGGTCCTTCGTGGTGTCCAGCTGCCGCAGGTCGGTCTGGTGCTTCTCCATAGTTGCCTGCAGCCCGCGCAGCGTGTCATTGTGCGAGCTGAAGCTGAGGATCACCTCCGAGAGCTCACCCTGCAGCGCCTTCAGGTCCACACCGGACACCCCGCCAAACACGCTGAACCCATCCAGCGGTTTGTGGGCCTCGGGCAGCTCCTCACCCGGCCCCGGCCCCGGCCCCGGCTGGCAGGGCAGGGCACAGGCGGCCACCTCGGCCCGCAGCCGGCCCAGCTCCTCCTGCAGCCCGGGGCAGGCCTGACCACAGCCACCCCGCAACGCGTCCTCCAGCCGGCCCAGCCGCGTGCCCGTGCGGTTGTAGTAGAGCGCCAGGTCCTTGTGCAGCGAGGCCAGGCCCCCGGTGCCCTCCAGCCCGTCCAGCCGTGCCCCCAGCTGCCCCACCATGCCCTGCAGCCCCCGCACCGCACCGCCCAGCGCATCCCTGCCAGCCCCCAGCTGCTGCAGCCCCGCGCTCAGCCCGCGCAGCTGCTCTTCCACGTCCAGCACGTGCCGCTCCAGGGCATGCAGCCTGGCATCCCCATCCTGGGGCCCCTCACCCGCTGTGGGGCACAGCTGGCCACAGTCCTGCACCCGCTGCTCTAGCTCCTCCAGCCGCGCCACGGCAGAGCCGGGCAGCCCTGCGCTGCCCCTCAGCTCCTCCAGCTCCCCACTCAGATTGCGCAGAGCCTGTGACACATGGCCCTGGAAGCCACCGAGCCGGGCATCCAAATCAGCCAGGTGGCCCTCAGCCCCGCGCAGCCGTGAGTCCAGGCGCTTGCCGGCCTGTGCTAGCTCATCGGCCACGTGGGCGCGCAAGTCGGCCTGGAGCTGCAGATCGTGCTCCTCCAGGCTGCGCTGCGTGGTGTTGACTCGGCCCTCGAGTATGGCCAGGCGTCCATCCAGCCCCGTGTCCGGCACTGCACCTGGCTCTGCCCGCTCCAGCCCGCTCAGCTCGTGGTCCAGGCGCCCATTGAGCACGGTGAAGGAGCCGGCCACCACATCGAGGCGGCGCTCCAAGTCATCGAGGCGGCGCTGCAGCCCCTCCAGCGAGGCACAGCAGTCCTGGGGCAAGCGGGAAGCCAGTGCACTCACGTGCCGCCGCACACCCGCCACCGCCTCCCTGTTGCGCTGGTCCACGGAGCCCACCAGCTTCTCCAGCCCCCGCAAGCGCTCCCGGTCCTCGGCCTGCTGCCGTCGCAGACCCTCAGTGCCTGCCAGGCAGGGCGCGCAGGCCTCCTGCACCCGCTGCTCCAGCTCGCCTGCCGCGCCTGGCACCACCGCCCCCTGCCGCCCGCCGGGGCTGTGGCTCAGGTGGTCGAGCTCAGCAGCGTGGCTGGTGATACGGTTGTCCAGGCTCTCCAAGCGGCGCTGGATGGCATCCAACGTCTCTTGCACCTCAGGGGCCGCAGCAGCGTCGGCTGGGGCCTTGCCATTGAGCGAGGCCTCCACCGCCCGGCGCACCTCGGTCGTCAGCGTCTCACCACCACTCCGCACCGTGGACTGCAGATCTTGCAGCTGCTGGCTCAGGCTCTGCACCTTCTCTTCCAGCTCCTTCACCTTCTCGCTGTCTCCAGGGCCTGGCGGCAGGGCACGGTGTAAGCCCCAGCCCCAGCCCGGCCTGGCACTGGGGGAGCCCGGTGGCATTTTGGGGTCCCCACCAACCAGGCACCCCTAGGATGAGCCAGCTGGGGCCCATGTTGAACTGGTGGCCAGGGAGCCCAGGAGAGCTAGGTAGGTATGGAGGCATTAACATGCGGGGGGTGCTGCGGGCAGGGGTCTCCTAGCTGGTCCCCCCACCCCAGGGTCCCCCTGCCCCAGTGGTACCTTCTCCCCCCAGGCCACTCAGGGGGTTGCCGAAGCCAGAGAGCGTGGGGCGCCCAGGCCGGGGGCGCGGGCGAGTGGTGGTAAGTGCGGGGGCCTGCGCCGGCCCCTCCAGGCAGTCATCGCCCGCATAGCCATGGCAGCACCTCCACTCCAGGTCTGTCACTGTCTTATAGGCCACCTTGTAGCGTGGCCGCACGAAGCTACGGTACCTGTGGGCAGCAAGCACTGAGCCACCCGCCCTGCCTCCACGGGCGCTGCACTGTGCTGTGCTGCACTGCACCGCCCGGGACAGACCAACCCTGGCCACCAGGGGGCACCGTCTCCTGCACTGCACTGCCAAGAGATGCCAGCTCTAGCCATCAGGGGCACTGCACTACACTGCGTTGCGCTACCCTGCACTGGGTGGGGATGAGATGCCAGTGCTGTCCCAGCCCCTGGGGTGCCTGGCACGTGCAGGGCTAGAATCGGGGGGGCAGTGCCTCCTGGCTCCCACCAGCCCCCACACTGTGTGAGAAGCCAGCAGCACCCAGGGGAGCAGAGAGCGGCCCTCCCCGTGAGGCCTGGGCTGGGCACCCGGTGCTGGGGCCAGTGCTGACCCCGAGGCAGCCCCGAGGCCGGGGGAGTGCAGCCTGGCAGCCCCGCAGGAGTCCAGGACCAAGGCCTGCAGCCCACGGGGTGCAGTACATGGGAGGTCAGGTGACCAGGTGG